GGTTTGGGGGTAACAACCTTAAGACGAGAAGGATAGATCACCGGGTTCAAATCCCGTGTTCATGCAAACTTTCACTCATTTATTCATTATGAGTCCCTCCCCACAATATTATTTCAATTTAACTCCAAAACTTACACTTTAGCCCCTGCCTCCATAAAGTCTTTCATAATAAGTCCATAATTTACGAAATACACCCTAACTTCTAAAATCATTTTCAAATTAAATCCAGAACATACACTTTGCTATATTATTATTGATTTTAGGGCTACTATTATTCATAAATTTGTCTATTTATTTATTTAATAAACAGGATGTTACATGATCACTTCTGGCAATCATTACGCTTCTGGACCTAACACTTGAATTTTGTTGGCAAAATTAGGAATATGGTCTTATTAAAAGCCTCATCTTATTAAAGATATCCATATTTAGTCAATTGACATGTCATTTGCTTCCTCATAAACTTAAAAAAAAACCTTTAAATTACCTGTGTGTATACTAATTATTTTCAAGTTGTACGACTGGGAAGAAATTACAAGTAATAGCAACCTACTTTTGATTAATATGCAGGTTAATATTAACTTACTTTATTTCTGTATTTTTGATTTAAGAAGGGTATAATTTGCAAAATTTACCATTCATGTAATATTTTTTTATAAGGACTATTCGTGTAATTTACTAAAGGGACCATAAATAACTCCTAGCTATTAATTACACATAATAGCAACCTACTTTCAAAGTACCATGTATTTTTGTATTTTAAGCTTCCGTATATAGCAATGTACCACATATTTTAGCTTTTTAGTTGTTTTATTTCCAGGGACCATTCATTTAATTTTTTTTGATACAGACGATGTTTTTAAGTTTCTTTAATTTTTTGGTTATTTTAAGCTTACTTATACAGCAACGTACTTTCATTTCGTATCATTTATAAAACAATGACCATTTACGTAGCTTTCATTAAACATAGACTATATTATAAAACAAGACTATTTCAAGAAACTCCAATAGTAAACAAGAAGACCATTTTGTAACTATTATAAAACAGGGCAACCATACTTGTAAATTATATACTTAAATGCAATAAATAGCAATATACTTTAAAAGTATAATGATCTTAAAAGGAAAATGGAATCTATTTAGCAATTTAACTATGAGTTGTTAAAAATGTTAAAAATGACCATTTTATCCGTATACCAAATAAGATAAAGAGTTAAACCACTACTGTTATTATCTTTTTTTTCTTTTAAATAAGGCTATGTTTGTCCTTTTTTTAAACAAATATATATCAATGTTTTTCTGGATGTTCATGTTATTATGTGTGTTTATGTTCATGTTTTATATTACATCATACAAATTCGTGATTTTAACAAATATCTAAATATACATGTACAATGGATATTCATAATAGTGTATGTATGTATTTATTTTAAAATAAAATTATAAGTAAATTGGGTATTTATAACATGTATATATTAATTTAAAATCAAAATGATAAACTTATTGAAAAAGCTTTTATCTTTGTAAATTAATAATTTTTTTTTGTATATATTTCATTAGCCATTATGAATAGTATTAACATTTCACAATCGTAATTTCTATGGGTTTAAATTAACAATTCTATAGTTACGGATAAAACATTTAAGCTTCTGAAAAATACATGTTTGCAAATGTATTATTAATTACGATGTCTATTAACTTCTAAAATGATTTGATGTTAGCCCCGTGTAGTATTGTTTTAAATTTGCGATGATATTTTTGAATAATACCAACTATTTATGGGTTAAAGTTATTAAGGAGATACATAGCTAAGTGAGGGTTTGTTGGGTACGGAAGAAAAAACAAAATAACAAGAGTTTAGTCCAAGATTTCATCATACTTAATATTTTGAACAATAAAAGTATTATTAAACATTCACACTTCCAAGTTACAGTTTGTAATGGTTGGGTTGACCTAGTTTTAGATTGATAATTGGATCAGCGGGATGCCCTTAAAAAAGTATAGAAACCTATTTTTTGGAGACGAATCAAAATTGTTGTAACGAGAATGAAGGTTGTAAATGAACCGAACGTTCAAAGAACTGTTCGTGAAATGTTCGGCGAGAAGTTCGTTTATGTTCATTTATTTAATAAATGAATGAACATCAACACAATATTTCGTTCGTTTAGTTAAACAAACAAATATAAGCAATTGTCTCGTTCGTTTTATTATATTCATGAACGTTCGTTTATATTGTTTGTTTACGTTCGTTTATATTTGTTCATATAAGTTCATTTATTTGCATAAATGTTTAATTGTGTTTGACTACATTACTATATTACATGTTTATTTATATTCATATATGTTAAATTATGTTTTTATTATTTTTATTTTTTATTTATCTTTGTTCATTTATGTTCATATTCGTTTAGCATGTTCATGGATCGAAACGAACGAACATAAACAATGTAATTTATTAAACTAATGAACATGAACAAGAAAACACCTTCTTTTATCCGTTCACGTTCGTTCATTTGTTTAGCTAACTTAAACGAACAAACATGAATAAACCTCATTTCGTGTTCGTTCAATTCGTTTAAAACCTACTGAGAATCATTAGTAGGGTCTCAGTTAGAATTGGAGGTAATAGAGGTGAGTGAGTGGTAGGGTTGAGATGTCACGATTCGAAGATACGCTTGAGTTGTTGGTTACATGTTCTACATCTCATTTTCGTGATAAATGGATTTAGTTATTACACTTTGAGAGAGTTTTATGTTAGTTCCGCTTAGGCTTGACCCTCAGATTTTGAAGGCCCTGTGCAAAAATTAAATTAAGATCTTATACCTTTTTTATAAAGTATTATTAATATATCCAATTAAACTAATAACTTCACTCTTGTTGCATCTCTCAAAGCTAAAATTGTCACCTGTCATATACGTAGTTTGACCTTATAACCAAATAATTTCAAAATCTGAGTTAGACTTTGGTTTCATAGTGTAAATATGTATATATTCGTGTCAGTTTCTAACTGATATTGATAGCATATTTAACAACCATAATTTTTAATTTTAATAACACTAATGAGATTTGTAACATAAAATTATATTTTAATTAACATATTATTGTTATTTTCTTTTAAATATTTTTTTGTAATATGATATTAAAAAAAGTTCTCAAATCCGAAGTCCCTTATGATTTGAGGCCCTGTACGACCGTACACCCACACCACTCCTAGTGGCGGCACCGGTTCCACTTGAGTACATATAAATGAAATGTTGCTTCCTACTAATGATTCACAAACAAGATGGAGTAATACCTTTCTTTAAAGGTGAATATCTTTATTTGGTGTGCTCTCTTGAATACAATTCCTACCAGGTTTATTCTGGACAAAAAGGATTAATCTTGAATCGATCACATGTATTTCTTGTTATAATCATTTGGAAGATACACTAATATATTCTTTTTGGGATGTGATGTAGCTGTGAAAGTTTGGCTTTTTGGGAAATTAAAAATGGGTGGATTTGGAGAGGTTCTATACTTAAGTAACTATAGCTTGGTGGATGTTTTTGAGTGGGTTTATGGGTGTAATGTCTCGGGTTAGAAAAATAGGCTTTGGAAGCAGTTTGCATGACAACTATTTAACTGGACGTATTAAAATTCGTATTTGGTGATGAAGACTTTAGTAAAAATAAGATTTTTGAATAATTCGTTCATTTGTCTTTTAATTGGTTTTATATTAGATTTAGAAAACTAAAAGTCAAATGGGTTAATGTCCCATGCATGTTGGCATTTAGAGGGTGTTTGAGATTGCTTTTAAAACAACTTTTGGCTTTTAGTTTTTTCAAAAAATTAAAAAAAATCAAAAGATGTTTGGATATTGAAAAAGATAATTTAAAATGATTTTTTATGGAAGGAAAATATAGTGTTTTAAAAGTCATAAAATCTTATCTTTTTGTGATTTTTAGGATTTTTTAACACGAAAAGTTAACTTTTACTCTAAAAGCAAATACGAACACTTCTTAAAGATAATCTTTTGTAAAAAGTCGCTAACCAAAAAATCATTTTACAATACAAATAATTTTTAACCTTAAAAGGTTTTCACAAACACCCCCTTAATTTGCTAGCTTATTGCTAGTATTTATAATATTCAGCCGTTCCAAAAAAATAGTTATTCAATTACTACAAACCGAAAGACGTTAGCTCCTTGAATCAAATAAAAACATTAAAAAAACCAATGAATGGTTGAATACTTGAATGGAGAATTCACAAGTTTCACACCGCATCCTATGAAAGAGATCAACTTCAAATTAATCAAATAGATGAAAAACATAATAATAGTGAATAAATTTTAGAAACTTACATGTGGAGACTCATAGTTGCAACAACAATTTGTAGCAAAGGGCATGGAGTTTCAGAGCAGTTAATAGAAGATATAAGAGAGAGTAGTGACGATTGCAATAAATTAAATTGAAATTCGAGATTGAAGAAGGATTGAGCAAATAGTTTTTCTTGCTTTTTCAAGGAGCGACATGAGTGATTAGTTTCCTAATTTTGGTGGAGACAAAACAAATAACAACCTCCCTCTCTTCAACAGAAGTTGAATACTGAATAAGGTAATAGGTCCATGAGACACATCAATATTCTCTTATAATCTGATTAAGAGCTTTGCCATTATCAACAATCACATCAAGAGACTGCTGACTGCATATATATATTTATTAAATAATACTTATAAACTGTTTATAGAAACACTATTTTTACATTCCCCAATATTCTAAAAGTTTTGGTAAAAATTTTAAAAATCACGATGTGGATAATAACACGAAATCGACGTGAAGTGTACGAACACCCGTACAAGAAGAACGAAAAAGTGCTTTTTACCCTGGTAGTTGCAGTAACAGCTTCTCGATCTTGATTCTATCTTCCACACCTCCTCTCTCAAAAACATCGATTTCACAAAGGTTTTGGGACCCTAATTGAAGAAACACTTCATTTGTGTTTTCTTGGTTATAATACCAAAAATGAAGCACTCGAAACCAGAAGCATTGCCACCACCTCCGCCTGTGATTCCATTCAATTTTGCTCCGGCAAAAGTCGATCAGTCAAACCGCCGTCCAATGGCTAGGAGTGAAATTGGCACTAAAGGCCAAAGGATCTCTCTGTTGACCAACCATTTCAATGTGAAATTAAGCAGGACTAATGACCATTTCTATCAATACAATGTATCTCTTCAACACTTTTGGCTTCTAATTTGCAAATATTCTGTTATTAAACATTTGAAGTATTAAGAGGCGTCTCGGTTTATGTTAAATTTCAAGTTCAAAGAAACGAAGGTTTCAATCGCTGAAGTCAAAACTGAATTCTTTGACTTGGACTTGTAAAAGTTTCTCACTTTGGATTGTATGTTGTTTCAAAAGGTCCAATTTTTGAATCGTGAGTGTCAATAAAGTTTATTGAATGTCAAAATTGATTAGGATTGTGTTTAAAGTTTAGCAATTACGTATAAGTTGACCAATTCAATAAACAATAATAAACTATGGAAATCCTTATGAAAAGTTTTAATTTAATGAAAACTAGGTTAATTTGAAGCTTTAAAGTCAAAAGTTGATTCTTTGATGTCCATCATCAAGGATGGATTTGTCCTCTTCTAAAACGCCAAATTTTGAATTTTGAGTGTCATATATGATATAACTGAATGTCAAATACCAAATTTGAAGTCTGATGAAAACTCGATCTGAAACTATTTTAAGCCTTTCAGGTTGCATTTTTCAATGAAGATGGAAATCCTGTTGAATCAAAAGGTATAGGTAGAAGATTACTAGATATGGTCCATAAAACTTATGAGTCTGAAATGGGTGGTAAAGAGGTCGCGTTTGATGGTGAAAAGACACTTTTTACAGTCGGTGCTTTACCAGGGACTAAGCTCGAGTTCATAGTTGTGTTGGAGAACGCCTCTTCAAATAGGTATACAATTATGTTTAATGTTTTTGTCTATTTTTGATATTTTTAAGGATCTTGTTGCTAACATGTGTTGTTTGTATAGAACTATACGAGGTGAAACCAAGAGATCAAGGCGTCTGCCTCAATCCAAACCGTATAAGGTAACACTAAGTTATGCCACGAAGATCCCGATTCAAGCCATTGTTAATGCACTTAAAGGTCAAGATTCTGAGCAATTCATTGAAGCTATGAGGATTTTCGATGTTCTTTTGAGACAACATGCTGCAAAACAGTAAGCCATGCACATGCAAACATAATTTTGTATTTGTATTATTCATGTTAAATAAACCTTAATCATGTTTTGTTTGGATTATACACAGAGGTTGTCTTCTTGTTAGACAATGCTATTTTAAGAACGATCGAAGAAACTTCATAGACATTGGAGGTGGTGTTATGGGTTGCAAGGGTTTTCATTCCAGTTTTCATGCCACACAATCTGGTTTTAGTTTGAACATTGGTAAAAAACACTAAAGATTTCAACTTTTTTTTGGCTAATTTTTAAAATTTATAATGATGTGACGGATTAATTGATTATGAATCGACATTGATTTGATTCTTTTATAGATGTGTCGACTACAATGATAGTCAAACCAGGGAAAGTTGTGGACTTTCTTCTTGAAAACCAAAATGTTTGTTGCATCAAGGAGATCGATTGGCTTAAGGTAACGAATTTTTTTGTTTTAAATCTATTACTAGCTTTTACTAATTTATATATTTTTTTTGGGTGATAATTAAGGCAAAAAGAACGTTGAAGAACCTTCGTATCAAGACCTTCCCATCTAATCTCTATTATAAGATTATTGGGTTGAGCGAAAAAACATGCAGAGAACAGACGTAGGTACTATTTGTTCATGTCGTTTCATGTTTTCATTTGTTTTTAATATATTTCTTTTGTAGGTTTTCATTGAAAAAGAATAATCACGGAGATGAGGCCATTAATATAACAGTCTATCAATACTTTGTTGAGTATCACCATAAACATCTCGAATACTCTGCAGATTATCCATGTCTTGTAGTTGGAAAACTAAAGAGCCCAACGTATATCCCATTAGAGGTGAATAAATCTTTTTAAATTTTGTTAACATTAATTAATCAACCAAACCCACTATCTAAATCTTTTTGTGTTGGTTATAGTTGTGCGAATTGATATCTCTACAATGCTACACCAAACCCTTATCAAATTCTCAAAGAGCTTCACTTGTTAAATCAAGACAAAAGCCTCAAGATCAAATGCGAGCCTTGATGGGTGTAAGCTTTTGTTTACCTTACTCAATTAATTATGAAAATCAAGAATTCTAAATGGTGATTAACGTTTTGAAGGAACTAAAGCAAAGTAACTATGATGCCGATCCTCTTATTAATGCTACTGGGATTACAATCAGCAATACTTTCACTAAACTTGAGGGTCGTGTTCTGGATCCTCCAAAGGTAAACATTTTTTTCTTAAAAATTATATTAATTTTTTGTACATTACATTCATGCACGTGTGGTTTGTATTCGTTGTAGTTAAAACTTGGGAGTGGAAGATACTTGGTTCCTTGTGGTGGTAGATGGAGTTTCAACAACAAGGTCACACATTCTTCATTTTTTCTTTTATTTTAAACTTTTTAGCCTTTTCCTAATGTCACTTAATTTCTTGATCTAACATTTAAACATATGGTTTCAGACATTTGTTGAGCCAACAAGGATCACACATTGGGCGATTGTCAACTTTTCTTCATGTTGTGACATGAATACCCTTCGTAGAGATCTTCCAAGGTGTTCCCAAGCAAAAGGACTTGTGAGTTCACTCACATATATAATACATCTATTGTGATGATATATGTAAAATGAAAAAGATGAAAATTTTCGAGTGATGCTTGTAGGATCTTGATCCACCATCTGCTGTAATCCATGAGAATTCTCAATTTAGGTGTAGTCCGGCTCATGTTCGTGTAGACAAGATGTTTGAAACTATAAGACAAAGACTTTCCAGCCCCCCTACGTTTATTCTATGTATCCTCCCTGAACGAAAAAATTCGGACATCTATGGTTTTTACCTTTTTTCTTCGTCTTTTAATGTTTACTGTATTTGTTATGATTATATTGGAACTAGAGTTGAGACTGATGTCAATTGTATTAATCACAGGTCCATGGAAGCGAAAATGCCTTGTAGACCTTGGGATTGTCACACAGTGCATTGCCCCGATTAAGATCGATCACCAGTATGTCACAAACATGCTTATGAAGATCAACGCTAAGGTCTTGTTTATGAACAAAATTAACATGATTTTTTTTTAATATCTTAAAAAACTCGATTCATGTTTTATATTTTGTTTTTATTTTAATTCAGATGGGTGGAATAAACTCTTTATTGTCGATTGAGTTTTCAAATGCTATACCATTGGTGTCACGGACTCCCACTATAATCTTTGGGATGGATGTCTCTCATGGGTCACCTGGACGTGCAGATGTTCCTTCAATTGCTGCTGTACGTAATAATTAATATTTTTTTTTCTTAATCCTTATCAAATAAAAATGAATATAAGTATATGTTTAGGTTGTAAGCTCGAGGAAATGGCCACAAATTTCGCGATACAGAGCATCTGTTCGTGCACAATCTGCAAGAGTTGAGATGATCGATGGTTTGTTTAAGCCTATTTCACATGATAAAGATGAAGGAATGATAAGGTTAAAATTAATTCATATTTCATAAACATTTACGGATTTGAATCTTCAATGCTAAAATGTATTGATGGATGTTTATATGATTTTAGGGAGCTGTTGGATGACTTCTATTTAAGCACTCCAAAATTGAAACCGAAGAACATAATTATATTCAGAGATGGTGTAAGTGAATCGCAGTTTAATCAAGTACTCAACATCGAGCTTAATCAAATCATTGAAGCGTGTAAGTTCTTGGATGAACAATGGGATCCAAAGTTTCTAGTGATTGTGGCACAAAAGAGGCATCACACCAAGTTCTTCCAAGCCAATTCAGAAGCCAATGTCCCACCAGGTTGCCGATTTAGCCGATTCTTATAAATTATGATTTAGAAGAACAAAAAATTAAATCTTTTTTGTGTTCTTGTGTTACAGGGACAATCGTTGATAATAAAGTCTGTCATCCGAAGAACAACGACTTCTATTTATGCGCTCAAAATGGAAAAATTGTGAGTGTCTTGAACTTTAACGCATTTTGTAGAATTGATTTTCAATAAAAAAATGTTTTGAATCGATTATATTTTGGATTTTTAGGGGACTACACGACCCACACATTACCATGTGCTTCTAGATCAGATTGAGTTTTCTGCTGATGAGTTACAAGAGCTTGTTCATTCGCTATCCTATGTGTAAGTTGATGAAAATTAACTTACCTTTTTAAAATATTAGGGCAAAATTAGTGTTTGATTTGGGGATTTTAGGTGTTGCAGTTACCAAAGGAGCACAACTGCTATCTCTGCAGGTAAATATGCTACAAAAAGACATTCGTTTCGATACATGTGTTTACTGATTAGTCCTAAATATTAAGAATTTGATGATGTTTAATTGATTGAGTGTCCAGTTGCTCCGATTCGCTATGCCCACTTGGCAGCAGGACAGGTGGCACAGTTTGTGAAGTTTGATGACATGTCAGACACTGCGTCTAGTCACAATGGTGGTGATGCAGGTGGTTTCACCCAGTTAGCTAAGCTTCACCATAAGGTATCCAATTCGATGTTCTTCTGCTGAACAACAATGGTGATGATCAGTTTTATGAGATTTTTAAACATGAATTCTTATGTTAGTTTGAATATGTAGTCAGGCTCTTGATGGTAGCAGAGATATGGATGATTTTGATTTGTTAACGTTGCTAATCTTGCTCTATCATTTTTTAATATATTATGGGAAGAACTTTTCCTTTTTAAATCTATGAAAACAATCTATAATATTATTTTTCATTTGTTTGATTGAAAATGATAATATAAACGAGGTGTGAGACTCATGTATTACACAGATTGATTTAAAAAAAAGATTGAACATTAAATTCAAATATAAACATAAAATATTTTTTAATGTACAACTTTAAAATAAAAAAGTAAAAAACATATTTATTGCAATTTAATATAATATATATGATATTTAATACTTATTATTATTATATATATAAGTATGATTTTAATTTCAAAAATTGAAACAAATCAAAAATTGATAAATTGATAAGTGCATAATATTTATTTCAAAAATACCACAAAATAACAAATGTCAAAATTCATGAGATATTGACATGTGAAAAAAAAACATTCATTAATTAAGAAGAATGATTACGTAATTAACATTTGGTACGTAGAAATTAATGGGAATCAGAATGTAACGAAGCATCAAGGAGGAATGAAAAAAAAATAAAATAATAATCATATTTGGTTGTCATCAAGGAGGAATGAAAAAAAAAAAAAAAAAAAAAAAAAAAAAAAAAAAATCATATTGTTGTCATCAAGGAATGAAATACAATATTGCTCGTCCGTGTTGATTTTCATATGGTGTTATTTTTTTCTTTCCTTCCATGGAATGATATATATTATAATCAAGAAATACTTTTACTAATATAATCTTCAATAGTATTAATCTTGTTAATTTTTTTAAATCTTTAATTTAAATCTATTTTATTTTTAAAAATAGACAAATTAATTTTTCTTATATAATATTTTAAGATTTAATGATATCTATTTCTTTATATTTTGTAAATCTTTTTAGACTACAATATTAAAAAAAAAATTAAAAAAAAAATTAAAAAAAAAAAAACAATTTGCAAATCATATAACATGCATCTTGAACGAAATAAACATACGTTTATATGCAATCTATTTAACAATAGATCTTATTTAATTTAAATTTATTATTATAAATTATCATTCTTTGCTTTCTGTTTATTTATAAGAAATAGATATTTGAATGATTTATTCTATTTTTTGGAGTCAATCACACGTGAAGGTTGAATATAATGATCAATTTTATTGTAAGACAAAATTGGTATTTAATAGATGAACGAAAACAACTTCTTATTACAACTCAAGAAAATAATTCAAAACTTAGGCTACAAAACAATGTTACGGGAGCTCTCTTAATCAACCTACAAAGATTATACATAGCCCATATATATATATATATACACTAGAAATATTTGAGGCCCGTGCTAAGCACGGTCCATGAAAGGTAATTTCGGTTTTTTTACAGTTGTATAAAGTATATTGTGCTAATAACCAAAAAATGTAAAACTACAATGCGATAAATTGATGAATTTTCAATGAACTATACATGAATAAGAAAAAAAAAATGAAAGTAAATTGATTTAAAATTTGAGATTATACAAAAAGAATGTGCTAACTAACTTTCGGGCTACAAAATAGACATTTAGCAGCATATTCACACAATTTGGAAATATAAAAAAATGATGGGCTGAGGACATTTATAATCAATTTAACCACCAAAAAACAGCAAAATAAAATATAAAATCCGAAATGAATTGAATCACAACCTACTTTCATCACTTTATCGTCAAATAGATGTAGTAAACAATAATAAATCATTTGAATATGACATACTTAATCTACCATAATATTTAATACCAAAAAAAAAAAAAAAAAAAAACCAGATTTTCAATGACAAAACATACCCCAATTCTCCGTAATGGATCTCCAACTAATATATCAGTTCCTGCATTTTAGATCACCAATTCATGATTAGATGTGTTCTTTATAATCTAATATTTCACCCCAAGAACCAATGATGATGAACATTTACCTCTTGTGCATTTTATTGAATGTGTGAAATTCATAAATGTACAAATGGAATAATATATATTAAGCAATGCATGAAGCAGCTAGCACTAACTTCAACTGGATTATCAAAATACCTCCTATCTATATCGAATTGTAATCAGTTAGGTAAAATTTAGAAGATCATATTCATAAAAAATGTTATTTGAACAACTAAACCCGATTGATACGAAAAGATAATTTGAGTTGACGTGTTTAGAAAATATATGAAGGAAAAAATACTAATCAAAGGTAACCATTCAAGAAAAATTGTTAGTGATGATTTGGTTAACAGAAACATTTTGACAAATAAGTGGAGTACAAAAGATTCACAAGATTAATGCGTGATTCCTGCCAATGCCCGACCAAATTATTATCATAAAGAGTTATAAAAGATACAAAAAAAATGCTATGTGATAACAGGATGAAATTGACCATATCTATTGGTTTCCTATAGTAGAGAGATAGAGGAACCCAAAAAGAAGAAACAAAAGGTGAAGGTGTGATGATTAGATTAAGAAAAAATCCATGTAATATGAGAGCTCTGCTATTTTTTTTAACATCATCATAAAGGAAGAAAAAAAACTAATAATATGAATTAGAGGAAGCGGTGGCTTGGAGAGGGATGAGATAGGTAACCCAAACATGATGGGAAAAAGGTGAGAAGTCGTCTCTTGAACCCTCGATGAAGATCTGTAAGAAGTAAATCAATGGGGGATCGTTGGTACATCGGGGTGGGTCAATTTCATTATGGAAGATGAGGAGAGGTTGTATGCCAGCGAAGGTAAATAAAAAAAAAAAAAAAAAAAAAAAAGGTGCCCCGACAGGTGTAGCGGTGGAAACAACATTGAGTTCAAGAGGATAATACTTTGTCAATCATTTATTTGCACAAAAGGCATATAATCTATATGTGATAGCTTTATTTCAATGTGAAAATAACCCAAACAACAACGGACCAAAAGAACACAATAACCGGTCTTTTTGCTTCAACTTAATTATGCCAATGCACGAAATTGCATTTCCAAGATAGGAGGATCAGGGATAATTTTGAATAGATTTAATAGGGGCAAGAAAAAATATCAATTGGATTAACGGTAACAAGTAAGAAAACTTTAAATCAAATTAGGGTTCTTGTAGATAACATACCAGTAAGAAGGAGATCATAGATTTGTCGTTCTTCTTCGATTCATTAAGTAAAGCAAATGCAGGAGTGGCTTATTTGGTGATCGCACAATCAGTGATTTTCGTTTTCTGGAAGATATGGTCGACTTTTTGTTAGAGAGGAACTGGCTTCGTGTGTTTGGAGAGACGGAGAATGTTGCGTCGTTCTAGGGCAAGCGGAAGCGACGATCAGGAAATTGTAATTGACATGTCAAAAGATGTAAGCAACATTTTGGTATGTTGCGTCGTTCCAGGAGTTGGCTACGTGGAGTTTATTGAACCCTATTACTTTCTTGTAGAAGGCACCAAAATAAAAGGGCTTTTATATATAATAATGATATATATATATATATATATATATATATATATATATATATATATATATATATATATATATATATATATATATATATATATATATATATATATGGGAAAATGGAATATACATTACAGCCCCACCTAAGCTTAGGTATTAAACCTCTTGAAAATACATTGTTTTACTATATAAAGATTACGGTTAATGGATTCACGATTAATACTTCAAGATGTAAATTCAAGATCGACACAATAGGGTTTAGGGTTTAGGGTTTAGAGTTTAGGGTTTAGGGTTTAGGTTTATGTTTAGGGTTTAGGGTTTAGGGTTTAGGTTTATGTTTAGGGTTTAGGGTTTAGGGTTTAGGGTTAGGGTTTAGTGTTTAGATTTAGGGTTTAGGGTTTAGCTTTAGTGTTTAGGGTTTAAATTTAGGGTTTAGGTTTAGGTTTAGGGTTTAGTAATGTTCACTTGGATGAAGTAATGAACGATAATTGATGAAAGAAAACGGAGATGATAAAACGATAATGAAAGAAAGAAATGTTATCGAGAATGATATATTTACCAAGTGAAACCAAACCGGGTATATTCAGCATGTTAAAACGACATATTTTAGAGGTTTAGTACCTAAACTTAGGTGGGGCTATAATGTATATTACCTATCCCATATATATATATATATATATATACACACACACACACACACATAGGATTGAGTTCATGTGAGACGCTCTAATTTTGTGAGACCGTGAAACGTATTTTTTTATTTTTTTATTTTTTTTTAGTTAATTCAAGTTCCAAAAATAATATTTAAAAAAAAGAATTTTTGGATTTTTCCATTTATTTTGCATTTTAAAATTATTTTTTAGAATATATCAGTGTAATATTCTATTAGAATATTTCACGTATTTTTCAAAAAAAAAAATGGAATTTATTTTATTTTATTTTTTTAATTTTTAAATTTATTTTTAGTTAGTTCAAGTTCCGAAACTAATACTTAAAAAAAAAAATTTAAGATTTTTCCATTTATTCTGCATTTTAAAATTATTTTTTAGAATATGTCAGTCACTTATTTTAAAATGGAATTTTTTTATATTTTTTTTAGTTAATTCAAGTTCCGAAAATAATATTTAAAAAAAGAATTTTTGGATTTTTCCATTTATTTTGCATTTTAAAATTATTTTTAGATTTGGTCTCACGGTCTCATAAAATTAAAATGATCTCAAATGAACCTAAATCGATATATATATATATATATATATATATATATATATATATATATATATATATATATATATATATATATATATATATATATATATACGCTAAAAAAAAATTCTATATATTTTTTTGATTAAAAAAACAAATGAATCACTAGATGAATAAAAAATAACATTATTCATAATGAAAATTTAGCATTTTAAAATTATTTTTAGATTTGGTCTTACGGTCTCATAAAATTAGAA